GTCTTTCTCGTTTAAAAGCAAACACCTTTCTTTCATCCAAGTCTGCTGCTGGAACTGTAAGTGTCATTATTTGTCTGTAATGATCTGATGCCTTTATCTTGTTATCCAGTGGATAAAGAGAAACTTACTTTATCCTTCTGTTTTTCTATTATATTATGGCTATGTCTCCCTGTTGACCTGTTTTATAGCCTGAGTGGATGGCACCTGAAGTACTCCGTGACGAACCTTCGAATGAAAAGTCAGATGTGTACAGTTTTGGTGTGATATTATGGGAACTGGCAACACTGCAGCAACCCTGGGGCAACCTAAATCCTGCACAGGTTGGTGAACTCGAGATTATTTCAAGATAAAAGATTAGAAAATTAGTATTGCATCTTCTTTATCATATCTCTGTGTGAACAGCGGTCAGAAACTTTATTGAAAGTGTAGATCAATTTGAGAACGGGAAACTAATGTTTAAGTGAGAATAATCTAGAGGCAGAAACAGAATTAGTTTATCCTTGCATTTGGTTTAGGCACGTCGTTCTCTATCTTTGTATGTAAACTGCTGCTTTTATGTAGAAAATTAAGAAAACACATACAACTCTCAGGCACAAATAAATTTAAAATGGAAGAAAACAAAGATGGGTAGAGATTTGAGCATTGTGTTTGTGACCTTGTTGCTTTAGCTTCTCTTCCCTAACAACAGATGTTTAGCTGAATCCTACGGTTGCCCTTCCTTAAAATCGATCTTCTTTATTTACTGCTCAGACTGCGAATACTCCGTGTTATATCATCTTCTAATTTTCTTATTTATAATATATTTTACTCTGTTGGGAATGCTGATGAACCTATATTTGGCTTGTACTCTCCAAATCACATAGTTCTGTTTTCTACCACTTTACTGCAAGTATTAATTATGGTAAATACTGCGCCATTGAAAAACTTGGAACTGCATGTTGACGTTTATTCATTGAGAATCTTTCTGCATGTTTGGGAATATACATTAGTGTTTTTGTTTCGAAATTCTATATGTGGCTCATTTTTTCTGATAATGTCTCAAATTTAAGTTCCTGCCTTCTCAATGTCTAACCATCCGTTATTCTTTTGAATTCTGTTAAACTTTTATGATTTATATGTCATACATCTGTATTTTCCTTGAGTTGTTTGAGTATAAAAGTCTCCCTTGTCCTAAATATTATAGGTTGTCGCAGCTGTTGGCTTTAAGGGAAAAAGGCTTGAAATTCCTCGAGATGTAAATCCCCAAATAGCATCTCTTATTGAAGCTTGTTGGGCCAAGTGAGTGATTTATTTGGTTAAAATGGAAAGTTGGTCTTAGCGGGTATATCATACATCTCATGTATCTATACATATCCATTGTTCCATGCAAAATATGAAATTACTTTGGGATTGTTACATTTGACAGGTAGAATATATTTTTTAATTAGTCCCTCTCGGCATGCATTCTCACCTTTTTCCTTGCATACGCATCCGCAACTTTTTAGCTGTTTAAATAAGTTCTCTTTAGTAATCTGGGACTACAAGAAGTTTTTGGACCAACCCATTTTTTTTTNTCGGTGTAAGAACTCGTTTTTTTTTTTTTTTTTTTTTTTTTTAAATTTCTGTTAGCTCACCAATACAAGAGTTGAGCATATCTTCTGTTCTCACTTCAATTACTAAATCTCTAGGGAACCTTGGAAACGACCCTCCTTTTCAAGTATCATGGACTCTTTGAGACAGTTGATTAAGTCCACTACACCAGCCCAGACGAGTTATGAGACCCCATTGCTTGCATGAAACTGTTGGCAGCATGAAGCTTGTATGTTAATGTTTGATGCTCTCCTTAAAACGAGCAGATGGATATGTAAAGGTTGGTGTATCTGGAGCCTTTCACTCGATTTCAATAAAATATGACCATTTAAGTAGTTTTCTAGTATTTGACTTTTGTCGTTCTAGATGCTAAAACATTATCCATTTTCTTCTCCCAATGGGACTGGAAATTTGATGCACACAAGATGATCTCTGTGTTGCACTGTATCTCTGCAGGTACCGGTGTACATAGTAGTTCACTTGACCTTTTCCTCTCGTTCAAGATTCATTTTGAAGGAAGAAATCATGACCCTTTTTTTTAGTTTAAAAAAATTTTCATTTTTTTTTTTTTTTTTNNTTTTTTTTTTTTTTTTTTGGTTTTTGGTTTGTTTCATTCTCTTCCTGTATCTTTTCTTTTCAGCTCTCCTCAATTGTCATGTAATGCAAGAAGTTTAATGCTAAAAAGAAAATTGTGCATGAATGAATCTGCTAAAAAAAGGAACTTGGGGGCAAGTCCAAATGCAGTGGAATTGGACTCTACCAGTGTCGGTCTTTGTATCATATTGCACACGTGTGTTGATCTGCACAGGTAGGGTTAAGGATGCATAAAAATAGAACTGAGTGCTGCCCTTCACTCTATGGTGCAGGCTTGTCTGACTCGGCATATATCAATACCTATATAATTATGACCTCATTGTGGACAAATATTATTTATCCCATGAAATAAAACTTAAACTAAAACATGACTTGGGACTTGGGAGTAGGAAAATCTCAACGTATATACATGGACAAGTGTCATTTATCCTCCTCATAATTATTACAACTGTGTTTACTTTTTATGTAACTTATTCATTCATTCATACATGTAACAAACTCAAAGCACCCATACCATAACTCAGATCGAAAGGCAGCATCAGTTGATTGGGTATTTGGTATGACTGTCAGATATCCCGAAATGCCCCTCGGCCTTGGACCGGGGCTTTTCGCTTTCCCAAGTCATATTACATTCATCAAAATAAACTTCATCAGTTCCATGTCATATTATATTACATTCATCAAAATAAACTTCAAAGCATTTCAAAAAGTATTCAATGTCTAAATAAGGCAGTCAGGTACCACATGACCCAACAAGGACAGGACCCATCCAATAGCAATTTCCAAATATTGTCCATCCACTCTATTGACTCGGCTCATCAAAAAATAGAAAAGCACGACTAACGTAAATAAATCATGCCAAAGCCTAAAATGATCAACAAGACATCCAAGGGTTTCAAAGCGACCAAAATTACATATCAACATGTAATAAAATAAACACCCACGCAAACACGATTGAAATGATGTTAACCAAAAAGGGATAGTAAACAAAAACGACAAGATGTCGACCCAAGTAACCAAAGTTACTCAAAAAGACTAAGTAAATCCCATGAAACACAAAAAGTGCAGAACCACGCACTAGATAAGATAAAGAAGCGATCGTATATATCATGCAAACCTTACTAATCGCGTATACTTATCGATACATTCGTGCATTCATCATAAACTATCATTACGCATTCATCCGTACACAACGTAAAAAGCTCAATCAAAAGATTACAGCGAAAAGACTGCAAAATTGTACAATAACGCGACTCCAAAACAGTTCTATTTAGAATATGTCCTAAACTCGGGGGGCCTCTTGTTTATACCCAATTTGTATCGACCGATCAAAGAGCAGCACATGGCAAAATAAACAGGGGCTAAAATACGAAATAAATAAATATACGAATAGCAGGTCCTCCGAGCTGATCATCTAACGTCAACCGAGTCCTCAAACGTTAAGATTGTCCACTTTTGAGCCGAGAAAAATTTAAAAATGATCGGCCAACTTAAATATCGTGAAGAAGCCGTCTTCAGAGAATGCATTCGTTATCGACAAGACAGGCGTCTATTGAAGCCGTTAAGTGTCATAACTAGACCCCGTCACATAACATTACATGCCATTTTATTTTATTCTTTATTGTTTGTTGTCCACACAAGGAATAGAGAAAAATTCCCTCGAGAAATAAAAGAAAAAGACCTTCATCTATCATGATTTTATTCTTGATTTTCAAACAAGATTCAAATGATACTTTTGTGTTGATACAATTTTTGGTATCAACAAAGGGTTTGAAAAGCTAAGGGGCAGTGTACTGCCTCCCCCGAATTATCTGTGTTGCGCCATCGAAAGAGAAACCCAGGGTTAAACAAAAGTCGAACAAATGAAATGAATGAGTCAAAGCAAGAAGTACTCTTTTGTATACTAGGGGAATTCACTTGGAACCTGAATGAAGGAATTTTCATGCCCGGACATTGACCTGTGGCCCACTCGCTGACATGGGACCTATCTAGAGTGGTTAAGCTGGTGCCAGGGTTGGGCTGATATACTATTTTATACTTACTAAAATTATATGGATCCTAATTGTGTGTAGTTGTCGCCATTGTTAGGCCCATGTTTGTTTTGTTTAGTTTTGTGGTGTTTTATGTTTCAATGTGTTAGACCAATCTTCTGTGATTTCAATCGGGTGCAGATAACAAAAGATTAGTCTTATTCCGTCGTGTGCGGATTTTGTTAGTTCTGTATTGTGTGGATTTTGTTCCGCCTTCCTCGGTTTTGTTTTTGTTTTGGTTTGCGTAGGTTGTCATTTTTGTTTGGCATTTTCTCTATTTGCATGGAAAGCACGCTTAGCAAGCAGTGCCTCTTCCGCTATCTTCAAAGTGTCGCTAGCTAACGTTAGAAAGTTCTTTTTGTAACCATTTGGTAATACGGTTGTACTCTTATAAATTGCCGTTTGAGGGGAAAAAAGGTCATCAACAATATACTTATTAGATTGCCGGTTCTCGAGGCTGTCAAAGTTGGACATGGGCCCGGTGAATGAGTTTTTGTACCCATGAACGAGTTTTTCTTCAGCCCGAGTACAGTGAGGGCCGGTGAGAGCTTTTCAAAATCAATGGATTTTGAAACCGACCTATCAAATGTGCTAGATCTATTGTTAAATGCATAAAGATTTTTAATGATATATGTACTAAATTACTTAAAAAGAGTAAATTAAATACTATAGGTGGAGATGAAACTACCCGGTGGCTCAAAATTAGGAGCAGAAGGACAAGGCCTCAACTGAACAACATATCCCACAGTGAAACGAAATAAGACATACAACACGAAGAATCTAAATTACCTTGTGGCTCAAAAATTTTGATACCGGATGAACACCAGATGATAACCGATTACCCAAAGCATAAAAAAAAATAAAAAATAAAAAATAAAGGCTGGGCTCATTAACCAAAATGATATTCCACTTTTAAAGTCGAAATGTATATATCTCAAGATTCATCTTGCTTTTGCTTCTTTTGTGAGAGATTGTGGCCCTCACCTTTCATCTTAGCTTCTCGGCGCTCCCTCTTCACCCCCTTTGATTTGTTAGCAAAGGGCACACTCCCAACCTACATACAGAAAAGATTTATGTAGACAGAGAAGCAAAATGCCAGATTTGTGAACTCTTGAACAATGTTGATAAAGCTGAAAACCAATAGAACATCGTGCAGGCAAAATTAGCTCTAGCACAGTAGGTCTGTTAAGTCAGATACAACTAAACGCAAGCATGTATGCCATTCCCTAGTTTTCTATACCAATAAGATGCTGAATTTTACACAGCACTTTAAGTGCTAGCATATAGAAATCCATATTTACTCTCATCAGCTTTCACACACGGTTTATAGCTAAAAACCCAGCACTTTAGAAGTCTAAAGCATTTCGGCACACCCAAAANACAAAAAAAAAAAAAAAAAAAAAAAAGGATAACTTTTCTATTTACCTTCTGCTCCGGAATATAAACCTTCCCAATCTTGCCAGCTATCGCATCCTTCACGACATTCTTCTCCTGAAGATTAAAACCAAGGGAGTCAGAAAAGGAACTACAACGACCATTTGAGATTGCAGAAGGCAAAGAGATAAGTCACTCGGACCTTCTTCTTTGTCAGTTCTGGCGCTGTTTTCATTGCTTCTCTTCTCAGGCTATCATCAGGATTACGATGCCTCCTCACGATCATGTCCATAGACGGGCCCACCTCGACTAGCTCCATCCTTGGCACTGAAGTTCCCGACTTCTTGAGACGAAGTGCACAATGTGAGAAGAAAATTTTATTCGGAGACAAAGCCATGCAGACATAGACGCGATCAACCCCAGCAAGGTTGAAGTTTGTTGCGACCTGGTTAAGAGAATGCATCCATATTTGTCATGATGACATAATAAAGGCAAAACATTGGAAGATTAAAATGAAAAGAAAAAAAAAATAAAAAAATTGTTCAAGGTAAACCTCCCCACGGAATAGATCGAGAAGAACTTCCTTCAAATGTTTCAGCTCGTCTGAACTCTCGAAAGCTTCCCCAATAAAGGCAAAAAAAGGTTTTGACCCGACCTGAGGAGCCAGTTTCTTTTTGTTCGAGAAAGAATCCATGCTTTTGAAGTTTTCAATGCCAACCTCGACAAGGTCATAAATGTGGTGATCATAGGTTCGCCCGAGAACAATATTATTGGGACGTTTCTTTGAGTGAGACCCGTACTGAGAAAAGAGAAAAAAAATACAACATTTTTGAAAGAGAAATATCTATGTTGGTATGGGCAGAAAGCCAATATCGCAGTAGGTGAAGGGCAGACAAAAACAGAATTCTGAATTCAGTTTTGTTTATGGCAGAGGATGAAGTTCGAGTAAATGGTAGAATGTAATATGTTCAATTCAGGTAAGTACTGTAATGGGGGGAGGTCAAATTTAGCCCATGGAGTGAAAATTATAACTCAAGTAACAAATTGAAATCATATGAGCTGGAGCCTATTATACTAATACTCTAATAGTAAACTTACAGCGACAAGTATTTAAACGCTTGGGGCAAGAAAGCCTATATACAAGAGGAAAATGGAAGGATAAGGATAATCCTCAATTGTCCTAAATAATTCGTGTATGTATATTCACACTGGAATCGAACATTACTCACATATTACATGATATCTGAGATGACAAACTTAAATTATTAATTATATGCTTGCTGTCACTGGTTCAAGTGTATCATAACCTTGGGATAGGAAGCTTTCCTAAAATTATGTGACTCGTTCAAATAAGGTTANTAAAAAAAAAAAAAAAAAAAAAAAGCAAGGAAGAATATGGCAACCGATGAAGCAGTATGTTTAGAGCATACCACAAAAAGGCTGCAATCCGTCTTAAGGGAGAAGAACTCCAAAGATGTTTCACCACCACTCTCAAAAGGTCTAATGTTATCATTCTTTCGAGAAAATTTAACAGCATTGTCCTTCTTCAAGTGATAGAACTCCGTCAACACTGAATTCACAACACTGCTTGTTTTAGTACCATGAAGTACCAACGTCTTCTTCCCGGTTTCGACCTAAAATAGGTAATTTTTCTTTTCATCAATAGAAAACATACAAATCACACACACACACACACATACACACACAAGAATAACTGAATATTCAGACAAACATCCTATCCTTACAAGTTTCGGAGCTCGTTTGCCAAGCTCTCGCTTAATTCGGCCTGGCTTTGGAGTCTTTATTCTCATCATAGTGGCTAAAATTCATAAAGAAAAAATAAAGATTAAGGCTGTATACGAAGATTTTACAATTCAAGGCTTTATTACCACTGTATCTCCGTATTCTTATTCCATCCTACTGAAACGGTCCAAATTTCACAAATACGAGGTACTGACTTACCGCCCGTGCCTCCCTTTTGATCCAAACAACACTTTAAATTTCACATAAAACTCAAGCGAAAAACAATGAACCCTGAGCAAAAGCTATTAAAATTGTTATACGAAAAGTGCAGCATGGGAATATATAAAACAACGGCGAGGTAAAACCTCAATTTTAGCGTACTTCTTACAGACCTTACCTGTGATTTATGAAACGCCGGTGGTTCAGACGCCGGAAAGTGCGAAGACCTTTGTGATTTATAAACCCTAGTCGCTAGCCTCTTTGTAAACGGGTACACCCTTCGTTCCTCTACCTTGAGACTTCTAAGCAAAATTGCAAAAGATAAATGCTATAGGTACATTACATAATAAGTGTATAAATGTGTATATAACACTCGCATTAAATATTAAATGGGTCCTACTAAATATGAGTCAGAGTTTGAATCAATTAAACTCAGTTCGACTCATTTAATAAACTCTTAAACTTGGATCAAAATCCAAAATTCTGATCGAGTCGATTGCGCATGTTTTCAACTTGACTATTCTGATAAAAAAACTAGATTAGTTGTTTGACTTTAGTTTGTTTAAATATACAAGTGAGTTGAGTTTGACCTTTCACAAGTCGAATAGAACAATATTAATGGACAATTCAGTTTGAATAATAGTTGCACGTTTCGCAGCCCAGGGTCAGAAAATTTTCTGGCTGCGCCCCTGTTCGATGCCCACTCCACCGCCCGGAGAGTCCAAACTCGGAATGCCCATGTGAAAATTAAAATTGTAATAACTTTAATTGCTTATGCAACATTTTTTTTCAGAGTATAATATTATATTTAAATCAATAAATTTTTGTTTATATTTATATCTTTAATTAATTTTTCAACATATTTAATGAGTGTATTAACATCTAAATTAGATGTTCATATAAATTATATATTTAAATTATCACCAAATGCTATAATTTTAATTGTGATATTTGATTATATTATCTTATTTACTCATTTTCTTTATTAAATAGTATATAATAAAAATTAATATCTACAATCATCAGATGGTAATAAAATTAATCAAATCAATTTTCATAATAATAGATAATTTTTTTTAATTGTGACAAAAAATTACTATGGAGTAATATTGTGATTCTGTTGAAAATATATGTAATCAATCAACATACTATTTAACTCAATTTATAACTAATGAATATTAGCAAGTGAGTAAACAAAAAACAATTAATGTTCATATATAAAATTTAATAATAGAAAAAAGTTATTATATGTTAAATATAGATAAAAATATTTTCCCATTTAAAGCTATGTCAATTATAGTAACAAAGATTAGAGTATGTCCAATGCATAAATGTTGTTATCACATAAATTTTGACAAATGTTAATTATTTAGATGGATTGTGAACCACATAAGATATTTGTTAAGTTCATAACTTTAAATTTAAATAATTATCTACAATGCACAATGTGATCAAACATAATTTTGTCCACTTGTCAAAAATAAAAAAACTATGACTAAAAAATAAAAAAATTTAAATAAGTAGATATTTTGAAAATTGTAATATTATTTATCTCTCATCTCTCAAGTTGATTAGAATATTCTTCTCTACATTGTATACATTAATTATGTCCACTTTATCACTACATTTGTGATTATATTGTGCATTGTAAGATTAAAAGTTGAAACATTGTTAAGTGTATTAATATAAGTGTAATTTATTACAATAATAATTAGAGATGCTCTTTATCTATTATATAGATAGAATATAGATAGATATTGATATAGATGAGTCAACTCACATAATTTGTCAGTGTTTCACACATAATTTGTAATATACTTTTTTTTAAACTCATTAAAATAAAAGAATGGTAGGCCTAATTGGCTAAAAAGGCAATTAAGGCTAGAATAGTCAAATGAGTAGAAAATTAAAAAGGGCAATAGAGAGTGAAGGGTGTTTGCTTGGAGGAGGGGTCGAGATCAGGCGACAATGACGATGCTCCAAACACCCTCCTCCCCTCTTATTATATAAACACCCTCATTTCCTTTCTTTTTCTTCACTAAAATCCTCGAATCCCTCATCTTTGTCTTTCTTCAAATTTTCTTCGTTTTTATTTCTGATTATCAGTAACCATGTCTTGCTACAAGGGAAAGTACGCCGGTAAGATTCCTATCCCCTTTGCTAGATTTCGATCTATACTTATGGAGATCTGTAGATCTTATGTGTATTTGTTTTCAGTAGATCTTTGATCTGATTGTTCTCTGTTTTGGTATAGACTTTTTTTTTTGGCTGGTGGTTTAGATCTGAAATTTTGGAATTGTATATGTACGAGAATTGTCTTCGAAATCGATATTATCCGATCTGTCTGGTTGCGATTTGATTGCGTGTGGTTTGGATCGTACGTGGTGGCGGTTGAGTTATCTATTTGCTGATATATTCGTTCAATTGCCTTATCTTTTTTCGGTGTTAGTCATTCAAATCTGTTTGGATCTATTTTTTGTATCCGATTTGTTACGGTTACAGGTTTTGGTGCCAATTGGAGTTTTGATCTGTTGTGGCGTTGTTTATGTCGTTAAATTGCGTGGTTTTTGCTGTTCAATTCTGAACATCACTGTTAAATCGGGTATTTTTGCCGTTCAATTCTGAATTTCACTGATAAGAGAATGCTGTGTACCTATGTGTACCTGCTTGCACAGCTACTTGAATAAATTAGTCATCATGATGCAGTTTGGCTTAATTTTTTCTCGTAAATTAGTTTCTTTTAATTAACTGCAAAATTTAACTCTCATCAAGTTTTAGCATGATTCAATCAGTGATGTCACCATTAATATCACACTAGTTGTTGATGATCTTTCTCCAGTGTTGCACTCTACAAGTAGATAGACACTCTGATAGATTTCATGAGTGCCCATGGCCATGTATTTGTGATCTGAACATCTCATCCACCAGAAGATCAATAACTTACCATGATTCGATTTTCTTAATCATATTCTACCAACAGAAGATCAATAACATACTGTGATTCAATTTTCTTAATCATATTCTACCAAACTGCTCATATATGCTGTCATTTTACTTTCTGCACATACCTTCCACCCCTTTAATATAGTGTCATATTTTCAGATGAGCTCATTGCCAATGCTGCATACATTGGCACCCCTGGCAAGGGCATCCTCGCAGCTGATGAGTCCACCGGCACAATCGGCAAGCGTCTCTCGAGCATCAACGTTGAGAACGTCGAGACCAACAGGAGGGCCCTTCGCGAGCTTCTCTTCACCACCCCTGGTGCCCTTCAGTACCTCAGTGGCGTCATCCTCTTCGAGGAAACTCTGTACCAGAAAACCGCAGCTGGTATGATAATTTTCGAATCAAAATGATTTAAAAAGTAAAAAAAAAGGACTTTTTATCTTATATATTTGAAATCTTGCAGGCAAACCCTTTGTTGATGTCCTGAAGGAAGGCGGTGTCCTCCCCGGAATCAAGGTCGACAAGGGCACGGTCGAGCTCGCCGGCACCAACGGCGAGACCACGACCCAGGGCCTCGACGGGCTCGCCCAGCGCTGCCAGCAGTACTACAATGCCGGGGCCCGCTTCGCCAAGTGGCGGGCCGTCCTCAAGATTGGGCCCAACGAGCCCTCCCAGCTCGCCATCAACGAGAACGCCAACGGGCTGGCCCGTTACGCCATCATCTGCCAGGAGAACGGGCTTGTCCCAATCGTCGAGCCCGAGATACTCGTCGACGGGCCCCACGACATCGACAGGTGTGCAGATGTAACCGAGCGTGTCCTTGCGGCCTGCTACAAGGCCCTCAACGACCATCACGTTCTTCTCGAGGGTACCCTTCTGAAGCCCAACATGGTGACTCCAGGGTCGGATGCTGCCAAGGTGGCGCCTGAGGTGGTGGCCGAGTACACTGTTCGGGCCCTGCAGCGCACGATGCCGGCTGCAGTTCCAGCTGTGGTGTTTTTGTCGGGCGGGCAGAGTGAAGAGGAGGCCACCCGCAATCTCAATGCCATGAACAAGCTCAAGACCAAGAAGCCGTGGAGCCTCAGTTTCTCGTTCGGGAGGGCCCTGCAGCAGAGCACACTCAAGGCATGGGCTGGCAAGGAAGAGAACATTCCGAAGGCTCAGGCTGCGTTCTTGGCCAGGTGTAAGGCGAATTCTGAAGCGACGCTTGGGACTTACCAGGGTAGTGGGAGTCTGAGCGAGGGTGCGTCTGAGAGCCTCCATGTCAAGGACTACAAGTACTAGGTTTTTTTTGATCTGGTTGCGTATTTTTATGCTCGATGGCTCGTGTTTTGTTTGATCTTCGTAGACTTTTTGCGATTATAATAAGGTTGGTTTGAGGAACATCAGCAGCTATTGAGTGAGGATTATTTTTTTTGGGTGTTATTATCGTCGGCTCTATAGTGTGTTTTAACTAATCTCTGGCCATTGGTGGCAATTTGATTTGCTTTATCGTATGTTCGAATTTGAATTGATATCATTGAATTTTGGAGCAATTTGATTTGCTTTATCTTATGTTCGATTTTGAATTGATATCATTGAATTTTGGAGTTACAGTTGTGTTTTGCATAAATGTGAGGGAAGTCCAGGAACTGGATTTTTATTTGGGCTTGCTTTAAGCACATATATTGCAAATTGAGTTGATGTGCCTAGTGGTGGTAGCGAGCTCCGCCTACAACCTTATGTTGAGACGCCCCAGTCTAAATGCTTTCCAGGTTGGTAAGGGGGGATTTTTATTTGGGTTTACTGTATGAAGGGGCGATAAGCTTGGTAAGGTAGTAGAGGCAAGCTAGGTAGTGCTACCAAGTGATGCTAAAAGATACCGAGAAAACAAAAAATAGGCCTTGCACATAATTGCAACTGAAGGGTTTGAGAACAGAAATTACATGCTCATGGTATCGAAAGAAGAAATGAAGGCGGTGGTGGCCAGAATCCTGGTTAAGCTGTCTAGGTCCCGGAAGTCATCTGGATATTTTTTGCAAGACGATGCTGCAAAGTTGTAGATGGTAAAAAGTCAGAAATGTTGAAATTGCAGTCTTTTTATAGTGGACGCTAGACATGATCTCAAATATCGAACATCAAATGTCGTCGATCTAGTGAAAGATAAGCAGTCCTGATTGAGGATGAAGAAGTTGACGGGACAAGTTGTGTCATCCCACGACGATCGTCGATCTGGCAGCAGATCAACGATCCTAAAAAATAGGTACTTTTTAGGTTCTTGATGCGGCTTTAGTATAAACGATTCCTCAGGTTGGCTAACAAATAACATATAAGGTTGAGACAACGTGTTGGGTACAACGATAATGCGGTGTTCTTGCAGAATGGGGGAGCTAGATGATAACACCCATGATACATCAGTGAACCATCCTAAGAGGTAATATCGGGTGCGATCGATTCAGGAGAGCCTCAGCTCAATGTCAGGGCTTAACCTCGGCAAAGAGCTCAATATAGTAGCTCAGGGTACGAGTCGATATAAACAAATGAGTGAGGATCCGAGCTCTTAATGGAGCTCGAACAAATGAGGAGTTATTATATCCTGGAGGTCGTACAAGCGAAGGTCGTGTCTTCGACCTGGTAAGGGCATGAGGCAACTAAGTTACAAAATATAGCCTGTATCTTTTACGCGGTGGAAATAATAGCCACCATATTTATGAATTGGCAATAGTAGCCAACAACTTTAAAATTTTAGGATTATTACCCAAATTCGGCCAAACTCGACAGAATTGTGTTGGAACTCATACACTTGACTGATGTGGACTCCACGTAGATGCAGGTATTGACAACGTTGCGTCCACATCAAGCGAGTGTGTGAGTTCCGATGCAATTTCATCGAGTTTGGTCGGATTTGGGGAATAATCCCAAAATTGTAAAAGTTGTTTGCTACTATTGCCAATTATTCGTGAAGATGGTGGCTGGAAATCGTCTAAAAGATACTGGCTATATTTTACAATTAAACCTCGACAGATGGGGCACAAGGTTGGTATGATGACCTAAAGACTTGAGAGTCGTGGTAAAGGGAGGAAATAAAATCCAAGTGAGAATTTAAGTGTATCTCTATAAGGAATCAAGGATCCCAGAGGCGTGTTACACTTATTATATTTTTACATACAATTTTTATAAACTCACGAACACGATCTGACTTGAACGTCGGAGGTCTTCCGCTGGAACCCTTCCCCGTCGTGTTTTGTAGGTCACTGGAGCTCAGGATAAAAGGCGGTTCGTGGTGGTGCTGGTTTAAATCCGATCTGAAGGAAATTTTCTTACCTTAAAGTAAAATGGTTGATATTGTGTTGATGGACAAAAGCGTTAGTAGATGATTTGGGATATATCGGATAAATTTAACTAAAAAGTTATCTTATAACTGATAGCTCATAAATTAATTTTGACCTTATAGTTGATAGTTTATGACTGATTACTAAAAAAATAGATTACGTAACAAAAGTGTTTAGTATAGTTAGTTGATAAGTGAGCTAAAAAAAAATACTGGTCTTTTTTGAAAAGATACCTAGAGAAGTTTATAATTAGACCTGTAAATGAGCCGAGCCGACCTTGAGCCCTTAACGAGTCGAGTCGAGCTCGACTCGTTAAATAAATGAGCCAAAAATTGAGCTCGAGCTCGGCTTATTAAGGCTCGCGCTGCTCGGCTCTATAAGGCCTCCAGCGCGAGCCTTAAAAAGCTGAACTATAAAAAATTATATAAAAGTTTTCTTTTCGAGCCTTATCGAGCTGAGCCAAGCTCGACTCGTTAACCAAACAAGCTTTAAATGAGCTCGAGCTCGAGGGAGCTCGACTCGTTAAGGCCTCGAACTCGAGCCTTAACGAGTCGAGTTGAACTAGAATCATTTAATTTAACCGCACTAATTATAATACATGCTCGAACTTTTTTAAAAAACTAATCGTCCAAACCAAAGTTATTTGAAACAAAACTCATATACTAAGACCCTATTTGGCTATTAGCTGGTAGCGAATAACATATTGTATTAGCAGATAGTTGATATCATATTGTAATAGCTGATTTGATGAGTGAATTGTAAGCTATTTGTAATAACTGTTTGGTAAATAGTTAATTATATAATTATTTTGTAAATTTTATGTTAATATATTATTCTACGAAACTTCTTTTCTCGAAATGCTTGTATATTGTGTGTTTGTTTTTTTTTTTTGTTTTTTTTTTTTTT